CACGAGGGCAGCGGCTGGCCCAGGCTGTGCAGCAGCTTGGACAGCTCCACGTTGTGCTCGCGGTAGTAGCTCGACAGAAACGCTCGGGACTGAGAGGGGGGAGAAACAAACCAAGATCAGGTGAAAGGAGACACCCCACACACACAAATTGGCTCTCACAGGGGGAACTCAATGCCCTCTCTTCCAAAGCTCGAGTTTCTGATTTTTAAAAACATCAATCCATTGAAAATACAACAAAGGGGGGAAAGTAATCAGTGTGTTTATTTAAGGTCGGTGTTTATTAAAACTGCTCCCATAAATTTCTGAACAGCCCTTACCTCTTGGTCCATTGGGGGGTATTTCCGACCTTTGCTTTTCCCCAGGCACTTTGTTTTCCCTCCTTCCAATAACTGGCACCAGAAGCCTTTCTGAGGGTCAAACCTGTGGAGGATCATATCTTTTAACAGACCTTGCTGCAGAAACATTTCCTGGCTACTGAGACATCAGTGTCAGCCCAAAATTAATGCTGCATGCATCTCCCTGGATGACTGGAATTCTGAGGACAGAGGGGGCAACCTGTATAAACTCTGGGGATTCATTTTTTCCCACAAATCTGCCTTGGAAGTATCTAAAGGCAGGAAGTTTTCCCCACGACCTGCACTGGGTAATTTTTGTTGTCCTTGTCCAGCCCACAGGGTGATGTGCAGGTCTCCTGAGGAAGCGCTGCTTGGGTGCTGATGATTTCACCTTCCTGAGGAAGAAGCTGGCTGCTCCCTATCACTGCATCTCAATACCATTTTCCTTCCTAGGGTGGCATTGTAGCATAAACACTGTCTTAGCAGCCTTATCTGAGCCCTGCCATTTGATTGTGGAGTCTGAAATGCAGAGATAGAAGGGGTTTGGATGAGGGCTTGGAAACGGGCTCGCTGAGGAACAAACGGCACCACGTGGCGTCGGGTTTGGAATTTACTGCTCTGGGACTGGAAGCAGCCATAAAACATCCAAACACTGCTCTTTCCTGCTGCTCAGCAGATGTTTGAGAGGGATGAAAGATAATTGGCTGGAGCACAGAGTTAATTAGTTACACACCACCTTTCTGCCCCTGCCCTGTCCCTACAATACGGATGCAGAAGTGAGTGAATTTCAGGAGAAGGGTGAACCTCCTCCGTGGGTTTTTTCTTGCCCAGCCTATTAATGCAGCCTGACTTTTGTTTCCTAAATTGTCTCTGCAGCTGTATCAATTAAAAACAAATAAATCATTGATTAAATGGGTATATTGATGATAGATTCATTTCTGCTTTGGCCTTTCCCATCTGCTCCCTGCATGGTGAAGTGCTTTAGCTGCCTTGCATTGATTTCCCAAGAGGAGCAGCAACATCATGTCCTGGGTAAAAGGGAAACTGCAAAACTGTGCCCCAAACAATCCTTCTGCCTCAGAAGCAGCTTATTGAACATTACGATGTGCAAATTTGGGAAGGGGGAAAGAGGGTGAGACAGTTCAGGCTGAATTCAACCCTCTGTGTTCAGAAATCACAGAACTCTCAGGGCTTCTGTAAATGTAATTGGGCACAGTGGAGGTATTTATTTAAAAATAGTGATAGCCCTAAGGCTGAAGCTGCAGGGGAGCGTTTTAGAGCTGTCAGCAGCAGGCCTTGGAGGCCTGGTTATCTCCCCTTCCCTGCAGAGGAAGCCTGCGGGAGAGGCAGGGTTCTGGGAAGGCAGCACCTGATGCCAGAGGCAGGGAATGCCTGGGAGGGCAGAGCCAAGCAATGCACCACGAGGATCTCTCTCTCACTCTGTGACAGAATGCAGCAGCCCTCCGAGGGAGAACACTTTCCTGAGCACACTCCTCTCATCCTGCCTTCTCCTCCAGCCCTGCCTCTGTGCCCCTGCGCTCCCCTCCCATGGCTCCCTTCTGCCTGGCTTGATTTCCCTCTCCTGCAGGACTTTCACACAATTACTCAGGGTGATGGACTTGGTGCCCAGTGCTGTTCACAGGCCTGGCTCCTTAGGCTGCTTCCTGACACCTTTAGGAATGTGTGCTGTGCAGTGGTTAGGCAGTTATGACTAGGAACCATCCTAGGCAATCTTTTCCCCTTTGACAAGCCCTGCCAGAAAGCAGCTACACACTTTAAAGCATTTTCCCCTTCCATCCCAAATCCATGCAGAAGTGAGGGCTTCCACAGCACATTTGCATTCCTGATGCCTCTAAACAGGGAGTGCATAATTTTATGGATCTGTTTACAATCCATTTTTCCTGTCCAAACCAGTATGAGAGGCCAAATTTCTTCCTGCTGTGCGACTCCATGACTTTAATTTAGTTCCAGCAAGGAAGATGTATGTCTGTGGGTGTGGATTTTAAAAACCCAGCAGAAGGCACTGCAGATGTGCAGTTGTGAGTTGTTCAAGCATCGATAGCTCAGCTCTGTGATCAGACTCCTCCTCCCCTCCACTCTCTTTGGAAACTAGTGACTTAAAAAATTGCATTCTGAAATCCAAAATTCTTTCTCTAGAAAAAGGTTTTGGCAGAGCAACTTCCTTAAGCACTGAAGTCTTACTTTGAACCTGTGATATAAATACTCTGAACCCTGCCAGGAGAGGAAACATTAAATGGAAATTGCAAGCAGAGAGGAGCAGTGTGGGGCAGCTGCAAAGTCTGTGGTTGTGTTTCCCTCAGGACCAGCCTGCAGGGAAGGTGAAGCAGAGGCTTTGCTGCTTCCCACCCCATGTGCTGGCTCAGGGGCTTGGAGAAGCAGTGCCCACACATGTCCCAGGGCTGGGGCTCTAAGAGAGGATGCTCCTCACACAGGGAGGCTCAGGGCAAAAGCTTCCTACAATTTTCTGCTGGACTACGAGGGGAGAGGGGAATTCAGCCCACTCCCTGCCCTGCAGGAGTCTCAGCTGTACATGGAAATCCAGACAGGAACATGGGACTGGGTGCTTCTCACCCAGCCTCTGCCATCAGGCTCCATTGGAATGGTGAAGGCAAACTTTCCACACCTGACGCTGCAGGGAAAGAACCCCAGGCTTCTCCAAGTTATTGTTGTCCTGATGTGTTTGTAATTAGTAATGCAGGGATCCTGGTGGGAGGGGATGTGCCCTGGGACCCCACAGGGCAGATAAGAAAGGGAACACACTCACGTTAGGGCTTCAGAGTAATTGTAGTGAGGAGAGACTCCCAGAAACTTCTGCACTTCATCCATCACAGTAGCAGGGTCACTTCTCAGCTGCTGTCCATCAATAATGAGCAACTGCAGGGGTAAATATGGCACTGATTTGGAAACAGGACTAAGGGTAACCAAAAAATGGCATTATTTCACTTCTGTGACAACCTGGATTTAAATTAGCTTCAAATGACTTTGTACAGTGCTAAAAGCATTCATGTGGATGAACCCCTTTTTAGGTTTGCTTTTTACTTTGGGTTGAGTTGGATTTGCATAGGTGGGCACCTTGTAACTCTGTGTGTGCACCTTGTTCAAATGCAGGGGTTAAACCTCCCAAGCCAAACCTGACACTCAGACAACTCTGAGAAAGGAGATAAGGAAAGGATGTAAAATATTGTTGAGGTTTACGATGTGTCTGTTGCAAGTCCTGAGGAGAGAAGGCAGCAGCTCCAGGTGAGGGCAGAGCCCAGGGAACAGGGCATGGGATGCTCAGCACCCTCTGCATGCTCCGTTTGCCAGGACATCCCCCTCTCCTCTGCAGGAATAAGGTGGGATGAGGTGGGCAAGGAGGAGACGTGGCCTGTTGGGTCCCAGGGCAATGCTGCCCTTGCTGCCAGCTCAGCAGCTCTGGGCAGGACTCCTCCCCATTTATCAAAGAGTACAAAGGGCAGAGGAAAGAAAGAAGTAAATGACTGAGATTTCCTCCCTTCTCGTGGAAACGGGATTGACCTGCTTCTCCTCTCTTTAGTACAGCTGAGGCTGGATAAAAACAAAAATCAGGATTGCAAGAAGACAGAGCTTCTAATTCTTTTTGTTGTTTGGTTTGTTTTTTTTTCCCCCAGGTCCCTGACAAAGTAGGCAATGCTCAGCTCTGCCTCCTTTCAGCACGTTCTGTCCCACCCAGGGCACACTCTGGGCATCCTTGCTGGTGACAGAGCCGTTTCCAGCTTTGCCTGACAGCAGGCACAGACATGAACTGCCATGTGGCCATGTCCTCGGATGAGGAGTGCCCATGCATGTGCTTTGCAGCACTAAAATGTTTGCTTTAGGTTATTTTATTGGGGTTTTTTTATTATTAGGTTATTATTACTTCAACAATGGAGGTATTCTTTAGATCTATGCATTTAGGTAAATTTTTCATGGCGAAGTTATGAAAGACCATGCAACAAAATACCTGAAGGAAGAGGGGGCAAAAGAAGGAATCTGTGCTCCAGCTCTAAGAAAGGAGAGCTGGAGCACAGATCAAAGACATGCGAAGCTTTCTATGATGGGGACTGGCTAGGGAGCAGGATGACATTTATATTTCT